ATTGCTTTGGATGTTGATTTTGTTCTCTCATGGAATGTATCTATGTTTTGGCAGAGTTATTAACGAAGCTAGCTTCCATTAGAGAAGTTGTGATGGGTGCGCCGTTAAAAATCATTTTCAAGCATTTAGCTTCAAGAACGGTTGCTCCTGAGTTGGATAGGCTTGTAGCAATTATGCATAGACCTAACGAGACATTTTTCCTCGTGCCTCAGGTATATATACTCTATAGGTCTTTCATATGTAGCCATTGAAGTAGAATTTTTGTGATTAGTTTGAGTTTAGAGTGATAGAGAACTTAACTGTGTATCACAGGCGGATAAAGTCACCGTGGCATTTCCTATGAGATTTAAAGACTCCGTAGACACAATTCTAGCGACTTCTTTCTTAAAGGTGACAAAATGATCAAAGCTAAAATGTTCATACAGGTTTTGAGTTCTGTTGTTACTGAAAATGTGGATCTTATATATAGGAATTTGTAGAGGCGAGGCGTGCTGCTGCACTTAATACTGCTCCTTCTTGTTCGTGGTCTCCAACCGCACCGCAGGAATTAGAAGGAGCTCCTAAAGAAACACTATCCGCTAATGCCGGTTTTGTAACTTTTGGTATGATCTCTATAAAAAATATTCTGTTTGATCTTAATTTGCATTGGTAGTACCAACCTGAAAGAAACTAACTTTGAGATTATCGATATATCGCAGTCATTTTTCCTCGGCATGTGGAAGGGAAAAAGCTTGATCGTACTGTCTGGAATTTATCGACCTTTCATGCTTATGTTAGTTACCATGTCAAGGTTAATCTACTTACATATTCACTAAATACCAAAACTTAGTCTCTTTATCTCACTATGAATTTGTGAATCTGAGATTTTGTTTGTTGTTGTTATATCACAGTTCTCAGAGGGATTTATGCACACGAGGATGCGGCGTCGCGTGGAATCTATGATTCAGGTAAAACACCAAACTCGTTACATTCTATTCAACTGCTTAAACGGTTTCATTACATTCGACTTGGATATGCGTTCTTTTAGCTAACAAAATCGTGTTGTCTCAGGCTCTGGATCAAGCTAAGCCATTGGAGAAAACAAGATCAATGAACAACAAGTCATTTAAACGGCTAGTAAGTTGCGAAACAAAAAGATTTCAACAGACTTTTTCTTTCTTTGTTTGCATTATTTTTGAGCTTTGTGTCTTCACCTTCATCACAGGGACTCAACGAAGCCAATCACACCAACTCGAAGTAGTTTGATTTCTCACAAAGCAATTTTGTAAAAACTTGTGAGTAGCTGAGACATGTTTTTTATACTGGATTCGATCTCTGTGAGATTTATTTTTAGTACAATTCTTTCAGATATTTCTATACATCTGATCCTGCGAAATATTTGAACAAATGTATAATGTGAAAATTGTAAGAAATTCACCTTGATATGGACTGTGTCTGGTCTTATAATCTAAACATAAGTGTTTCAACAGAAAATAAAGAACATGAAAGAGAACAAACGTTCAAATTACCTTTATACACAGATTTATCAAAGATTTGGATATTGAGTAATCTGGTAAGGTATAAGATTCATAAGAAGATTCAAAGGTCGATTGAATTAACGATTCCTTTGTAGTATATACACTTTTGATGCCCATAAATCTTGACTGGGCATGTTTTGTTAGGTTCCATCAAAAACCATATCTTATCTTGTTTTATGTATACTAAAAAAAAAAAAGACGAAAAATGGCTTCGCCCGGGTTCGAACCGGAGACCTTCAGTGTGTTAGACTGACGTGATAACCAACTACACCACGAAACCTTCTTGCTTAATTGGTGTCGCTTTGGTTTATTGTATTTGGTTTTTCTTTGATCACCTTCACTTCTTCGCAAACCATGTTATAATCTCTCATTAGCGCTAAGAACTAGTATATAGTTTCGAGAATGGATAAAGAATCTGGAACTTATATTTGATAAATGATGTCTTATGCTTTCCGTTAAAGAAATTTTGTCTGATTATTTTTGGATATGAAGTATTTCACCTAAATCTATTTAACACTAGACCAAATAACGTGCTATAATATCGATTTGATAACATACTATTTATATAGTACGGTAGATTAAGATATACCATATAACATACAAACTGTGATAAAACTTTAATGAAATCAGAACAAGAACACTAGATTTCTTTTGTCAAATTTCTAGCATTTATCTTATGTTTGGTTTTATTCAGATAAAAACTATAAGAGTAATTAGAACTAAAAATTCTACAAACATGGAAGCAAATTACATAAAAAATAAACAAAGAAAGCACGAAATAATTTGTTTTTAGAAATATGAAAGTAGAGTAGCATGATTCTAGTGGACGGAGACAAACGCGTTCTCTCTTCTCTCCCAAAAATCAGATCTAACGTTTTAGTAACATATCGTCATTTTGTCCCTTTAGTATTCAGGGGTTTTCGCTGGTGCCGTGAGGAGACCTCCTATGTTCTCTATTTCAATGGTGGAGTGTTCAGTTATTTGCGGTTCGGCAGCTTGCTCGACGTGCCATAGCTCATGTCCTCGACGATTCCTCTTTCTAGATGGCCTCTCTTCCTCCTGTTAGCTCGAGGACGGCTATCAGATTTGAGAGATTCATTCACGCTGGTCGCGGAGATTGTTTGATTCAATGTCTGGTTGGTCGGTTCTAGTAGTGGTGAAAAATAGCATCGATTTTGGGTCGATGTTGGTTTCAATGCCTCGCTCTTCGCCTCTTCCTCTTTTTCAAATATCAGATCCAGGTAGAGTGATGGTTTTCTTGTTCTTTTATCTCCCATTGCTCGTGCGACTGATCTCCTTAGTTGGTGGCTCGACAGTGTTGAGAGTGGTGTCAAGCGTGTGTGGTTAGCCTCTACCTACTCACCAGATTCAGCTTTGTTTTACTTATGGTTTGTTTCCATTGGGAGGTGGTCATGCTTTCTTTTTTTTTATGTTTTCGGCATCGTATTCTCCTTACTTAGCGTGCAATGAAATTTCATGTTACGAGTGTGTATCTCTCTCTGTTTGGCTTTTGCTTCATCGCGTTCTATTGGGTCATTGGTTGGTTGTAGTAGTACAATTAAAAGGGAAAATCTCTGTCGATAAATCTCCTTTAGCAGCTTAGAGCTTGTAGAAGGAGATATTTTTGGAAGAAGGTTGTCAGGATAATTTTGGCATCTCCACTAGCACTGTTGGAGTCTCGGAGATCCTCAATCTTTTCAATTTTAGGTGCTTCACTTGTTTACAGTTTGAGAGTGCGGATAGTTTGTAGAAAATATGTAAGTTATACCGATGTAAGGTTTTGAGGGCTAACCTTGGATCGTAGACACTTGTGGCAACTCAAAGTCCAATTTGAACTTGTTTCTTTATGAAGACTAATAAAGTCAGTGCTCCTCGTAGTTGTCTTGAGAGGGCTTTACTTTCTTCTGTTTTCAATACATCGTTGTGCCCTTCGATGATTTTTCTTCGGCCAATGTAGTGTTGTGGTATAGTAGTACAAGCGAAGACTGATGGTTTGATGGTTCGATGTGCCTTTCCTTCTAACATCGATAGTTCCACCATTTAAACGAATTCTACCCCTTCCAACTCAATTGAGGAAGGTGATTTTATTTTGAGTGAGATTTTGTCTCTGTGGTGCCGTGGCGTTTGGAGGTTTAGGTTCTCGTTGTTACTGCTATGATCGGTTCTAGTGGCGGTTAGGTGCGATGGTTATGATTGGTTGGCGAAGAATTTTCAGGAGTTGCTTTTTTTTTTTGTTCAGATCGAAGTTCGCAATGGTTTTTTTGGATATATCGTTTTTTATTCCTCATACGGTCAACTTCCTCGGTGGTGGCTTGGCGTTGTTCAGGGCGGTTGTAAACGTATGTTAGTTTTGATTTACCTCCTCGCTGGATTCTCCAAAGCTCTTGTGTATTGTTTGCCACCGTTGCGAGGTGGTTTAATTTTTTTTAGGTGTTGTCGTGGTTGCAATTCCGGTAAGCGTTGGCTTGAGTAAAATCGTGATTCGATGGTTTATTCGGATTTGTTTTCTCTGGTGTAATGATCGGATTGCACGGTGCTTTTTGCCTCTCTGGATGTGGTTAATGTAGGTGGATTTTTATTTGTAGCTTTTTTCGCCGAATATACGTTTTATTTTCTATGGCGGGTATGACATGGCGAAGTTGTTGATCTTTTCCTAGGCGGCTAATCTAAGTGGCTAATGTTGATAGATTGGCATTAGTAGCTTTTCCGGCGAATCTTCTGTTTAATTTTTGTGACGAGTCCAATGTGGCGAAGTTGTTGATCTTTTATTCGGCGGCTTCGGGTTTGGTTACTCCTCGTCTCCTCGGATGAGCTAACTCTTTTTGCGATTCTAGTTCTATTGTGATTGTTTGCTTGAATTTTATGGTCTCATCCGAGATTGTCATTGGAGAAGTTGTATGCGCTTCATTTTCTAAGGTGCTGAGGGCTGGCGTCGGATCACAGTTGCTTGTGGCAACAAAATTGGTATTTTCGAGTTTGAGATCTTCATTTGGAATTTGAACTGTGTGTCTTTCCTTTAATTTGTATCTGATATCACCAAGGTGTCCTTATGTTATCGGTTTCTTTGTTTGGTAGTGGTTTTTTGTTTGTTCTGTTTGTATTTGTAGCATTCGGATCCTCCGTATTTTTTTTGTACTGTCTCCGTCATTCCGTAAAAAATTAACAATGATATGAAATTTAAGATTTTTCTAAAAAATATAGAGAAAATTGGAAATAAATGATATCTACTTAAAAATTTGTCCATATACACTTTTTTTTGTGAGATTGTCAGTTTGGACGATTTTACTCCTACACCCTAATTTAATTGTTTTTAAAAATAATAATCATAAAAACAGGTAGATATACAAGAGTAGAGGTGATTTGAAGTATAATTTTTTAGATTTGGTTTAAAAAAAGTTGATTTTTTGATAGATAAAGTTTCATCTAATTTTGGTAGAACACGTTTTCTAGAGTTCTGCGAAACTCAGGATGTATATTCTGCATTTTTGTACATGTTCTACATATTTCAGATTAGATTTCTGTTCTGAGAATTTTAGAAATCCGAAAATCAATAATCTAAAATATTTAGAACATGCATTCTACGTTTTTCTCTATGTTCTAAATGTTTTAGAATAGACGTTCTAATAATTTCTACATCTTCTGCCATCGTTAGAAATTGTAGTCTACGTTTAGAATGTAAATTCTACGGTATTGCAGATTTTGATTTCTGTAATTTTTAGAATGCTCTAAATATAGAAAGTAAATATTCAGAAAAGGAAACAAAATATTTTTTTTAGATTACGATTTAAATGATTATTTATTGTTTAGATTACGATCTACAAGATGTAGAAGTTGTTGTCTACGGTTTTTAGACTAAGATTAAAACCTAAAACGTTTTTTAAACCCTAAAAAGCTACACGTCTTAATCATACACGTCTTAGTCCACCACTTTCGTTTCTAAAAAGCTAAGAACACGTTTTCCTTCAAATTTTCCCTTTTGGTGTTCCCGAAGAAGAATGGCGTGTCCCAGAGGAGGTTGCAGCTGCAATTGTGTTACCACTTGAAACAAGAAGACAACCTGGTCGACGAAGAAAACGAAGATATGAAACGGCTGAAGACAAGATAAAAGTGTCACAACAATCACAATTGTCAAAGAGACATAGGTGTAGTCGTTGTGGAAAAGAAGGCCATAATCGAACAACATGTGACATAGCTATATGATTAAGGTTAGTCTAACTACTGGTTGTAATCTTAAATAGAGACTTTAAAAATTGTCTTTTGCTAACGGTTTTGTTTTTAATTTACAGGATTAGAAAGCAGCTTCAAATTATGAGCAGCTTCATGTTTTTCCGATTCACTACCATGGGAGGTTGTGGGGTTCAGTTCTGAGTTTTTGATTTTATTCTAATAATTTTCGTTTTGCTGTTTTGAGTATTACATTCACTTATACTTATATTTTTGTTTTTGTGTTTTGATTTATGGATTCAGTATTAGTTAAGTTCGTGGTTTAGTTTTGAACTATGGATTCACTTCTACTTATTATCATTTTTTGTTCCTGCGTTCGTCTCTAATGTTTGTGTTCATAATCAAGTTTGTAATAGATCAAATTAGACATGAGTAGAACACGTATAAAACAGATAAGCACACGAAGGAGTAGAGAACAAAAAATCATCTTGCTCGAGCTAAAAGGAGATATTAGAGACGAACTCAAGAAACTTACTTTCATAAAACGCCTAAATAATTAGGAAAAAAAACAAAGGTCATACAAAACCCCTTGTGAACTGCTCCTAGATGCGTAGACATCATCGTCTTAATGCATATCTTCTCCTCTCTTTTCAGCAACTTGCTCCAAAACCCCTTATCATCTTTCCAAGTATCTAAATCATACTTGAAATCATCATTGTATTTCAGCCCAGTCACTGCGTAGAACTCTTGCAAAGAAAATCGGAGAGGCTTGTTTCCAAACACAAACCAGAGCTCATGCTGTTTTCTTGTTACCAACTGTCTACACATTAGGCTGTGCATCAGACGACCCGAATAATGTAAACCATTTTCGTATATGGCGAAGACTTGTGCAAACAGAGGATCAGACTTCACTTTCTTATACTCTAGTGGCAAAGCATCTTTGATTTTCCTAAGTATCGATAATCTGCAGCTGTTGTTAATTTTCTCAACTTCAGGCTCTTTACCATGTCCGAAAAGGAGCTTGGGAAACTCCTTAGTAGTGGTTGCACATAAAAAACAAACATATGTAAATAAAACCATTCACAGTGATGACTAATTATAGTGCATAGTTGCAGTTAGCAAACAAAAATTAGTATGTTAAAGTACCTGATGTCTTACTCGTGCTTCCTAGATTGTTTTCCATTGATAACCTTTGATGTAATGTAGATCCAAAACATGAAAATAGAGAACAAACTAGCTTTATCAAATATTTTAAGTTATTAAGAGACAAAACACTTGATATAAAAATAAACCTAAGAGCTTCACAATGTCAAAATTTAAGAGCTGAGAGTTTAAAATCAAATATCTAAACAGCTCAAGAAGGATCACAAAAGAATTCTAATTTCATAAACTTGTGGTCTGATTTCTACATGGGATTCTTGGTCACAACGACTCAACCCATTATCACAGTTTGAGGCATGTATATCTCACTAAATGGAGACATCTACAAGATTATACACAAAGATGATTCAAAGAGCTAGAGGACTTAATAATAAATCAATTAGCAATTAAAATTTGGAGTTTTACAACACAAAAATTGAAATCTCTAAACGAGTAACACAAATTCAAAGAACATAACCAAAAATATAGAGCAACTAATACACTCCTACGTTTGAGGAGATTATTTTAAGATCAAAGAATGATTCAAGCTAAGCCTTATTCAAACTCAAGCAACGCATCTCCTAACCTTCTTATCTATTTGGTCATTGATGACTCCTATATATTCAAACAGACAAAGAAAACAAACTCTATATACATCATATTGAAACCTCTAATCGAGTTACACGAATTCAAAGATATCAACAAATCTACATTTAAATGTTGTTAGTATACAGAGAAGAAACAGAATTGCAGAACAACATGTGAAGCCCGAAACAACAATTCTCTGAAATAATCTTCATAAACTCTTTTTAAACCAATGAATTCGAACACAAACACATATACATTAACATGAATCAAAGAGATATAAGACTTAATCAATCTACATGCAATTAAAATTTGGAATTTTAAAACTCACAAAATTGAAACTTCAAATCTGAAATACACGAATTCAAAGAAATTAACAAATCCACATGCAAACTGAAATAAACTCTTGCAAATTACACTAAATCGAGAGAACAAGAAGATTCATTTCGAATTTAATAAGAAAAAGACATGATTTCAGTCAAACAAAGGGGAAACTAGAAGACAACAGAGGAGAGAGACGAACCAATATATAGGAAGCTTCAAGCTGAAATCAAGAGGAAGCAAGACGGCGCCAGACACAGAGACGGCTGACGAATCGCCGGCGACGACGATTGAGAGAAGACAGGGGAATCGCCGGCGGCAACTAACGTGTTTTTTTTTTCCCGACAAGTGGTTTGACGAAAGAAAAAAAAAACAAGTCTTTTATTAGGTCTTCGTGAAAGACTCTCTTTCATTTGGAGTTTTTGTGATTCTATTATTTCTATTTTAATTTTGTATAACTAATTAGGAAGTTTTATTTTTAAAATGAAATTTGTGAGAAAATGAGGGTAAAATTGGGTTTTGATTTTTAAAAAACTTATTTGACCAATCTACAAAAAAAAGGATATATGGACAAATTTTTAAGTAGATATCCTTTATTTCTAATTTTTCCAATAATATATATTAAGGAAAAAAATTTAACAAAAATTAAATCAAAACATTGAAATTAGTGTTAAAAAGTGTGAGAGAGAAAGTTAAACTTAAATTGAAAACAATTAATAGCACAATGTTCTGTGCTTCTGTTATTAACTTTAAAAAAAAAAAAAAAAAAAGTTATTTCAAAAAACCTTTTGTAATTCCCCACATTTTCTCACCTATTACACTTGTTAGCTTGCTTCTTTTTTTCTTTTTGAATTTTATTTTTTCAAAGTCAGATTGCTTCTTCCAATATCTATATCTATAATAATTATATATTATGAATTTTTTAAACTTACCTTAGGATTTGCAACAGATTTGTTATTATCTAGTGAAACAATATTGCAATTATCCCAGATTTGCAATTATCCCATTGTTGAAGTAAATATATATTAAAAAAAAAATTGGTGACATGATCGTAACATAAAAATTTCTTTCAACAGCTTTTTTGACATCCGATTATTTAGCTTGCTGTTAATGGTTTTATATTTTCGTTAATCATCAGATATGTTCTAGAAGATTATTTACCAAAAGATTCATGTGATATGTTATGCTCGAGGAAATAAACTATCAAAATATTATTCACTTTTATAACTATTACTCAAAACAAAAGATTTCAAAGAAAATTCACTTTTATAACTATTACTCAAAACAAAAGATTTCAAAGAAAATTAATATAGGGAATAACTATTACACGAATATTTCTTTAAAAATATTAACAGTGAAAAAAAAATCCATTAAAAACTGAGATATATTTTTCAGTTTTCCTTTTTAATCTACATTAATATAACTTTACAACCTATTTATCAAATACACAATGTTAAGGCAGATGTGTATATATAATACACAACCTATTTAGATACTTCTTCTGTCAGATTTGTACTCTTTATTAGACCATTTTCATTTTCCAAATTAAGGAGTTTTCTTTTAATTTTTAAATTCATTAAAAAAAATGCACGCTATACAATAGTAGATCTAGTTTTCCTATATCATCGATGCCACAAAATCTCTGTACTCTATTTCTGAAACTAGGGGTCTGCGAAGAAATATTTTGATCATATTGTTATAAATGGATACAATTAAATGTTATCAGCTTTTATATTTTTGGCCTGACTCGAAAAAATTGGAGTATACAATGGATTAGAAGAACAAACAAGAGATAAATAATTCTTTGTTTAAAATTTTCTACTTTCCAATTAAATCTTGTTTCCTCTCATTTTTCTTGATAGGTGAAAATTAAGAAAAATTCAAAGCAAAACTCATTATACCTTAAAAAATATATGATAATGTTTAAAAACGATAGATACATAATAAATACACACCACAATATGGTATCAGCGACAAATAAGTGAATGAAATCTTAAGCCTTGAATGGTAGTGATTTTTCAAATGATTTTTGGTTTTAGTTTTTCCAAAAATCTACTTTATAACCATTCAAGATTTTGAAAAACCCTAAAGTATAGGAAATCTAGTTTTTGTGTTTTTACTCTTTAAAATTTTCAAAGAAAAACAGAAATTCATATTTTTGGGGTTTCTCACTCACAAAAACCAAAATCCATCGTTAACACTTTTTCAAATTTTTGTTCGTTTTTTTAAAAATAAAAATATAGTTCATCAACATTTTTATTTTTTAGTAATTTTGAAAGGAAAAAAAAAAGCGTTTTCTTCAAAATAAGTTATAAAAACCAAAAACTAATTAAACAATTTATCTTTCAAATTTTTACAAAAATCAAAATCAAAAACAATAAAATGAAAATCCAAAAACCAAAAGCCAAAATCCAAATACCATTTTAAAGTTTCAAACATTTATGGCCTTAATTTATTTGTAAGTTTCAATTATTTATGAAATCTACATATTTATTTTTGTAGTATCATATTGAGAATAATTTTTTATCGTGATGTAAATTTGAGTATATCTTGATAACCTCGTGGACTTCAGGCCTAAACCTCATAAGCCGTATTTTAAGAATATGTTACTAATATCTTTAATTGGGATAATTATTAAAATATACCAAAAATTATAGTAAAATTTAAAAAATATACCAAATCTTTTAGAATTAAAAAACTAGGTTTTTTTCAATAAAAAGTAAAAAAAACTCCTTTTGAAATTTGAAGAAGTGTTTTTTTTTTTTAATTCAACTACAATATTTCTAAGATTTAGACTCATGATCTTCCATCATAAAAAACTAGGCTCTCACATTTCTAAGATTTAGACTCATGATCTTCCATCGTTCTTTAAATTTGCTTAATTTTGTACTTAATTTTATCAAACCACATACTAACATTCATGAATGGAGTGATTTGTATTAATTTATAACATGCAAATGCTATATAAAATGGCATATGCACTTAAATATGAGAGATGGCTCAACATCTACCATTTAACACGTCTCTCACTATAAAGTAGTCCACTACTCCAAGATTTTTTTTTAGAAGCCGTGAATTCTCTGGCCTTCTTCTACTTGATAATATATTATCTATCTGAATTCAACGATATCACATATTATATCTCCTTGAAATTCCTAGCATCACTAGTTTTGCTTATAGTTTTATAATATAAAGCGTAGAGCATTCTCCACTGGAAATTTTGCGACTTAACTAACATAGTTAGGAGTCACAATGGGGAAGACATAATACCTTGGGAAACAAGAAATTAAGAAAAAAGCAGCTGGTGTTCCAAAAAAAAAACAAGCATTTTTTAGAAGACAAAAATTGCTAAAACAAATTTTTAAAAATTAAAAAAGAATTCATTCAAGGAACACCAAAAAGAAACCAAAATATGAGAAAAAGACAAAAAAAAACATAACAAGAAGCATTTCATGGTAACGCCATTTGACATGTTTTTTTATTATGTCCAGGAAGCTTGCATCTTGAACACTTGTGCTCTTTTCGTGGTCGCTTGTTCTCCATTGCAATCTCTAATGAGGATTGGATTCTTTTTTTCTTCGGTCGACCTGAACGACGTCGACCTTGAGGAGGTAAACACTGACTTTTTTCAACTTCAGATGGTATTTGGATATCATTAAGAATCCCTTGAACATGATAGATGGACTCAGAATATGCAGCAAATAGAAAAGCTCTCGTGTAGCAAGGATCTGAGAGCGTGTGCTCAGGAATCTGTTTTTTCGTAGCAACTGCAATGGCATGCATACATGGAATCTTCTTTATATCAAACGCACGACATGAACAACTCAATTTCTGTATGTCAACTACAGCGTCTTGTGAGCCACCAGTCACATGAAACTGATTTAGATTTATGGGCTGCACGTATTTATGTGTTTGCCTCTTCACGTATTTTCTCAATTTCACGGTCAGCATATGGTCCAAGTTCTGTGACAAGTTTTGCAGCTTTTTCTCGACGCTCACAAAACCAGCGAGTTAGAGTAGCCCGCACATGATCGAGAAAAGCTACGATGGGATACTCTCTTGCATCTTTCAAAAGTCCATTGATTGATTCGGCAATGTTAGTTGTGGTGATGTTGTACCTGTTTCCTTGGAAATGAGCCGTAGACCATAATCGAATATCCGCATCTTCCAAGTATTTGCTCAGCTTTGGATTAAGACGACGTATCTCATCCATGACATTGGTAAAGTCATCACGTAAAAAAGTATTTGCAGCTTTCGTAACCAAGTGAAATAATTGATTTGTTCCGAAATTGGTTTTGATGTTTTTCTCAAGGTGATAGAAGCATATGCCACGATTTGCAGAGGGAAACACCTTTTCAATAGCTATTTCAATAGACTCATGTCTGTCAGAGATAAACACCAAATCAGGATGATCAGGGATAACTGATTTCAAACGAGAAAAAAACCATTCCCAAGTTGCGTTGTTCTCGGAATCAACAATTCCAAATGCAATAGGATATATATGATTATCTCCATCTTGAGCAGTTGCAACTATGAGAGTACCCCTAAACTTTCCTTTGAGAAACGTCCCATCCACTGCGATTACTTTTCTCATAAATTCAAATCCTCTTAAACATTGACCAAGGGCAAAAAATAAGTACTTAAATCTCTGGTTACCTTCAAGCTCTAGGTAGGCAATTGTACCAGGATTTGCTTTCTTTATCTTGTAGATGTACTTAGGGAGCTGCTCATAACCACTTTCAGGAGAACCTCTCATCAGTTCACGAGCTTGCTCTAAAGCATCCCAAAGTTGGTGATAAGTTAGCGTTAAACCATAATTTTTAAGTAATGGTTTCTCCAAATCCCTTGGTTTCAATCCATTGCTAATACCACCAAAAAGATCCAATATGAGTTGGCCTATAACTTTCGGTGTAATTGATCCTAGTGCAAAACTTCTTTGTTCAACAGAACATGTATGCACATCAATGTACTTTCTAATCCAGAAATACTCTGTTGTTTCATCCTTTGTGGTTGCTCGCACCCTCCAAGAGCACCCATTATTTTTGCACACAAAAACAAGCTTTGTAGGATTTGATTTCGAAACTCTCCAGCCAAACTTATATTTTACTGAAAGCATCCACAACCTCTGCTGTATTTCATATTTGCTCTTAAAGTATTCACCCACTTTAATGTCCGTATTGTTAGAAGATAGAATGTTGTTGTTATCACCACCATCGTTTTTATCATAATGATCACCAAGATCAACATGATCTCTAATTTCACCACGAGTAGCAAATAACTCATCAGCGACCTGAACTTTATATTTCTCACCACTAGTAGCAAATAACTCATTGACGAGCG